CAACTTGACGTTTGAGTAGATACTTGAAAATTATGCGTCGTCTTACTATTTCTAAAAATACCGGTGTGGCCACATAATGGATCGTCCAGAAGTTGCAGATATCGCAGCACTACAAAAAAAACTGCTGCCAAAAACGAATAATGGAAAAAAATAGGAAAGAATTGCGCAAGAAACCAGAAACTATTCTATAAAATATTGAAATCCCTAAAGACAGAAGTAGTGACAGAGGAAAATGATACTCTCTCTGTCTTACGTCAAAACTGACGCAAGACATAAGTGACTTACGTCAAATTTGATATTTGTATGTTATCATACTTGAAAATTATGCGTCGTGTTACTATTTCTAAAAATACCGGTGTGGCCACATAATGGATCGTCCAGAAGTTGCAGATATTGCAGCACAAAGAAAAAGGTCTAATCTAACGCAAAAGATGCACCAAAGTGTCTATTATTATTTATTTGTCTGTCAGAGAAAACTATAAATCGAATTTGAAAATTTGAAAAGATCATTGAAGATATGCAAATTTGTTTTAAATCTACAAAAGCTGTAAAACAAGCAAATACATGAATTGTATGCAATGCCAAATTGTATATGGCATGGAGAAACCTCATTCCAGCATAAAATTCAACTGGTAAAAAAAAATCAAAAATTATCATACAGTTCTATCCATATTTATGATCAGTTCCTACTTGCGATATTCTTCCACGTGTTTCTTTAACATAAAGTCAATATTATACTCTTCATTTGTTACAACAACTTGATCATCAGCAAAGAAAAGAGTTGTTAGGCTTTGATCTTCCACGTCTGTACCCATTTTGTCTTCTCCATGTTTTCAGCACTTCTTAGATCTATATTTTAAGTAAGGTAGGAGTTCTGTTTTGACTTTTTGAAGACTTTTTGTTGTCGAAAAAGAGTCACATATCGAGCTTCCCACCTTAATGAACTTCTAGCGTTTCCATAAATGTTCCAAATGGACCGAATATACACCCTATTAAAGCTAATCATAGTCAGGCTCTCAAAGAAGTTTTTCAAAACAATGAAGCTGTTTCGACACATACCAATCAATTTCTCCCGTTTCCAGATGTCGTTAAAACATTTTCGATAAATATCTAGATGCTTTTTTTTCATTTTATCTTTTTTTTTATGTATTATCAAGATAATTTCATTTCCAGGCTTTTAAACTTTTGACACTTTTCGAGGAGATTCTTTTTAATTTTTTTAACTAATTTCTACCTTGTTAAGTATAGCTTCACTATATTCCAATCAATTAGATGTATTTTGACACACACCAATACTTTTTTCCATTTTTTTTGCAATCTTTGAAACACTTTCAATAAATGTCTAAACGATTTTTTTTAACTTTGTCATTATCCTTATGTATTTTCAACATGTGTCAAGTCGATTAAACCATTTTAACTCCCACCAATCGCGTATTTCCATGTTCTCAAAGTTTTAGACACTCCCGGAGGAGATACCTTTTAGTTTTTTTAATCTATTTCTTGCTTGCCAAGTGGAATGAACTTGTTCCAATCGATTACAACTATTTTAGCACACTTTTCATTTCAAAGAGAAGCAAAGAACATCGGTCTTGAAATAAGTAAGCAAAAGACAAGATGTTAATAAAAACGAAAATAAGAAGGACTATAAACTACCTCATAGCCGAGGAACATGTTGACGAAGTGGGGAGCTTTACATACCTGGGAATCAACCTCAATATAGAAGGATATGACAGAACTTACTTTGCCCTTTCAAATGTATTTTGCTCCAAAACTGTACATAGACATTCAAAAATTAGAGTCTCTAAGAAATCTCTTAAGCAGTTAAATGCTGGGCAAGAGATCAAGAGGGAAGCCAGAAAACGATGGGAGGACGAAGTGATAGAGGATGCACAACGACCCATGAGTATCAGACCCTGGAAGAACCAATTCCTGGAAAACCAGCTGCACTTAACCAGGTGCAGGTT